ATGGTGGGTCTGGTACATGAATATAGGAAGGCGACTGGACAGTGGCGATCTGATCCCGAATTGTATCTATTTTGTTTTTTAAATGAATGGCAATGTCCTGGGTAGTGAATGAGTTAGTGGGTGGTGACGGTGGGGGACATAGTAGAGAGTTAATAGTAGAAAAGAGTTGACGTGCTCTGGATGAGAGTGTTAATGAAAGTAACAAAATAAGTCTGTTTGGCAGCACGGAGGAAGGAGTTATATTTTAGGAGGGCAGCTTTATACAGGGTGAAGTATTGCAGAAGCCTAATTTTCCCCCACAGTCATTCAAGAGCGCAGCTAAGTCTTTTTAGATGTCTGGTTTCTTTAGTCTTCCACAGTTGTAGTTGACGTGGTCGAGGTCTGCGTGTAGTGAGGGGAGCCAAAGTATCTAGGGAGGATGGGAGCGAGCTGTTGTAGACAGAAGTAGTCAGGTCAGGGCAGGGGTGAGATTTTGTCATAGAGGTAGTCGAGAAGGGTCGAGGTGACGAAGGTTTCTCCGGTTGACAGTGTGCCATGTAGGGGGATTAAGGAATGGGGACAGGGCGAGTGTGAAACTGACAAGTTTGTGGTCAGGGCCAGATTTCCTTTCTCTGCTGCCCCCCCCCCATGGAGAAGGGCAGACCTGCAGGCTGCATACAAGTGATCTCAGAGACACCAATGAGATCACTTGTACAAAACAAGCAGTGGTTTCCCCATTGTGCATTTAGCCTTGCTTACCCAAAGGAGGGCTAAATGTAGAAAACAATTACCCGCCCGGCGCCTGGAACTCCATGTCCTGGGCATCAGGAGATAGGAATTCCACACCCCTGCTGCCTCTCTGATCTGCAGTGGCTTCAGCTGGGATGGTGGCCTGCTAAAATAGTGTATCTGCCTCTTCATCAACAAAGGCAGCTATTCCAGTGTAAAAAAAAAGACAACAAGCCTTGCCCACTTTAAATATGTATTTTCCTTTATAATATACTTGTAAAAAGGTACTCAGAAGAGTAAAGGAACAAATTGCTTGTAAAATCCACAGTCATGCTAATGAAATGTATGATTCTGGCCTGATGATGTCGGTTTTAGCCTGACTGAACAAGAAATGCATTCTTTTACAAGTGTTTTATTATGTACAATCCTTGTTTTATTGATTGCATGTAATAATCTATTTTTTTGAGATTGTGGATTTGGGGTTCTTGGGGTTTTCATGAGCTGTAAGCCATAATCATCACAATTATGACAAATCACGGCTTGAATTATCTCGCTTTGCATGTAATGAGTCTATCTCATATATTAGTTTCACCTTTTAAGCTGCATTAGTGAAATAAATTAACTTTGCACGATATTCTAATTATTTGAGTTTCACCTGTATTTCCAAAGACTGACAGTGGTTGCTAGTGTTGTGGAAATCGGTTTTAGCACCTTCAGGGTATTAATATTTAAAGGAAACTTGTGCTGGCTGTCATGCTGATCCTTTAGTTTAATGTTCTCGGAGTCCCCGACCTGGAACAAGATAGCAGATCAGCAGTTCTGACTTTTGTTATGTGCTTGTTTGGATCACTCACCTTGACATAAAGGAAACTCTAAAAGCAGGTCAGTGTTTTTCTCTCAGTACAGATGATCTTTAAAATAAGAATATTGGAACATATTGTAGCAACTACAGGCCAATCCTACTTCTTAAAATAGACCTGAAATTGTGTACGAAAATCCTGGCAAACTGACTCATTCCTCTTCCACCCTCACTTGTACATCTTGACCAGGTGCCCCTCATACCAGGTCGAGAGGTATGTGGTAACATGGTTAAGATATTGACTTTAGCCCATTGGCTGACAAGAAATAAAACAGAATGCTTTTTCCTTTCCACAGATGCTAAGCAGGAATTCAACAGGGTGGCCTCGGACTATACTGTGTATCAGGATCACTACAACAAATTACTTGGCTGTTAAACAGAATACATGCACTGTATTCAGTCACGGAAACCCAAACGTGACTTAATGGCCCCATGTTGCACGTGTTCCCACATCCATAATGGAACATGCCAGGGTGTCCCTGGTCACCCCTCAGTTTTATTCAATCCCTGGAGCCCTTCCTTTGAGAATTAGGCCACCTATAGAAATTAATATCATAGGAGGTAGGTCGTACTGAACATAAACTGGCCGCCTTCGCTGCCAATTTGTTACTGACTCTCTCCCAACCACACTCCCCTGTCTGCTAATGCTTCTCGAGAAATTGTATTCTGTTTTAAAACCAGTTACATGAAATCATATGCACTCAACCTCACACTTCCCCAAGCCACAACTATGGCATGCCAGTGTGACCTTCCTTTTAGCGGGAAATTTGAGTCAATTACGTACCTCAGTATTTAACTTCCGTCTATATCATCCAACTTACATCACCTCAAAACCATATGGAAAACAGTTTCTTCACATTAAACAGACTCTTGCCCGATGGTTTGGTAGAGCAGCCACACTGAAGATGAATGTGGTCCCCAGAATTCTTTATTTCTTGCAAACAGTACCAATACACCTAGCTCAATCTTTCTTTAGATCCATTCATTCACTCTTTCACACGTTCCTATGGGGACATAAGACCCCAAGAATAGCAATGTGATTGCTTACCTTCTCAAAGAGTCAAGGAGGGATAGGTTTACCCAACATACATAGGTATTACTGGGTTTGCCAGCTAACCAGACTGATAGATTGGAATCTAAATGCAAAAACCAAAGTGTGGATAACCTTGGAACGTTACCTCTTTGAAACACCACCTCCTCTCTTCATGGATAAATGTGAAATGTATTTGCCACACCTTGCTCAACCGTCTGTTCATTGGAACTCCCTTAAACGGTTTTTTATTACGCCTCCAAAATCTGAACCTTTCTTTAACTTTGGGCCCCTTAACCCTCATCCATCACAATCCCGCTTTTCCTCCAGGAGTATCCTCTGGCTTTCTGGACTATGCCGTTTTAGTCTTTGGACTAAAATGGCAATTTAGTTTAGTTGTATTTTAGTCATCTGAATTGTTTTAGATTCAGTCGTTTTGTTGACTAAATCTCCATTGTTTTAGTCCTATTAACTTAGTTATTATTTAGTTTTAGTCACTGAAAACACGCAGCTAATGAACATTTTTCATCTACGAAATGAACACTGGTCTTTCCTAAACTTTCTGGATTTCATCTATTTAAAGCCCCTTTGTGTTTCAGGGCTGCCTAACCAGAACATTTGTGCTCTCCAGCACACACCCTACTCCACTATGTGAAATGCAACTGACTTTGGATCCAGCACCTCCCATCTTCTTTGTCTGAATCATTTTAAGTAGAGGTGCACCGATACCTTTTTTGGTATGGAGTACCAATTTTTATATTTCGGTACTCGCCGATACCAAGTACCAGTACTGGTGCTTCCACTAGCATGGAGTCGGCTTCCTGGTCTATCAGGAAGCCGGGCGCCGTGCCCTTACCTGCCACCCGGTTTCTCTATTGACCAGGATTAGCCAGGAAGCCGGCTTCCCAGCCAATCAGCATTGAGTCGGCTTCCCAGGAAGCCGGGTCATTACCTGCCGCCCAGCTTCCCGATTGACCGGAAAGGTGGCTTTATGCTGATTGACCTGGAAGCCGGCTTCCTGGCCACTCAGCATCGAGCCAGCCAAACAGCATGGAGTCGGCTTTCCAGCCAATCAGGACGCCGGGCGGCGAATCATTACCCGCTGCTCTGCTTCCCGATTGGCCAGGAAGCCGACTCCTTGTTCAATCACAGCACTGCCGGTCAGAGGAAATCTCCCTCTGACCGGAAGTCCCGGTATCGCAGCATTTGGGCAAGTAAGAGTACTCGCCCAAATACTTGGTATCGGCGCATCCCTCATTTTAAGTGATAGCTCCACTTTAAAGCATGTAAGAAGCAACAACAACTATACACCTGGAGACAATATGTTTCTTGGCACTGTGCATTAAGCCAGTGCAGTGTCATGGTATTTTCACAACTAGATGACTAAAATACAAATATGTTTTATGCCGGTTATGCGCTAAAGAACAACAGATTGTACCATTCAGTAATTGCCGCGTGCTGACCTTTTTCCTTTCCAATATCATAACAAGAATATTATTTGTAGATACAAAGAATGTATTGTACTATATACAGGCATGCTGCAAACAAATTAACTTGGCAGCCACAGTTGAGGGTAAGAGGAGGGTAGGAGAAAGGAGACACAGTAAAAATTACACACACTAGCTTTGGCAAGGAAACAGTTGTTGCAAGACAAAATGTTCACATCCATATAGAACAACATAAATTACTTGGCTCCACATCTTTTCTCTGTATGACAGGAATGTTGAGAGTTTGTGCTTCGCTCAATGAAAAAAATCAGCCTGAGTCTAAAGCTGGCAATCCAAACTGAGACAATATCCCCCAACCCCATTTGCAGACTTGACCCAATTCCATGTTACGTACTGTACGTAAATGCATGCACTGTGGATAGCTTATACAAGTGACCATAATAAGAACTGCTTATTAGTAGCCATAGTGGCATAAGCAGCATTCTGTGCCGTAACAATGATCATTTCGGTAAACATCTATAACTGTCTTCATTTTGCTTCATGAGAACCAGCTGGATGTAGGACTGCATGCTTCAGACATGAGGCCCTAGTTGGTGAATCACAGCCGAGGATAAGACTGTAAGCAGCCCTAGAGACAGGAAACAGAGAAAGACTTTTGGCAACTGTCAGAAAGGAAGATATTTCAATTGGAAGGCCAGCGAGTCCACTGGTCAAGCAGAAAGGCAGTTAACCTGCCATGTTCCTGCAAGTCCTTGGAGCACAGCAGAAAGCAATGACAGGCCACAGGGAAAGGACGCACAAAAAAAAACCAACATGTCGCTGCAAACAAGCAAATGCCAACCTCCCTCCCCACCCAACAATAACTGACATCATTCCTACATAACCTGAAAATACAAAGCACAGGCCTGTGAGAGGAAAGTCTGTGTTACTATGCTCACAAAGTTCCCCTCTTTAATTGAGGGCTGTTAAGGCCTGCTGAGGATGAGGGGGATCACTGAGGAGTACAGCGCATTAGCTCGGCAGGCAGTGAGGGCTTTGGTTACAGTCCGTGCAGAGCTCATAATAAGATCCCAGTCCATGTTCTTCCTCACATCCGGGATCCTCGCTCCTGAAGAATCTGAAAAGATAACAGCATATAGTGCAATGCATTACATAAACAGTGATCACCAGCCCTGTGAACTATCTTATAACAGATCATTTCACAAACAGTATGGTTCAAAAATAACTAAACAACAGTGCCACCTAACAAGAAATGCACATTTGTGTTGTATATAATCATTCAATTATCTTATAGCTTAACTCTTAATAGTAAAAATAAATAAATAATTGAACAGCATTTTGTTATGATAAAAAAAGCAACTCTGCAATGCGCACCTCCTCCCCAGAGACTGTCCCACCACAGAATCAGGCTGAATGATGCCCAGCCTCATTCAACCCACTTACTTGGGAGTCCAGGGTGTCAAGGACTTGCCCCTGGGGGTACATCATCCAGTCACCCTAGGCTCCCAGGAGAATGCTGGAGAGGGTGGTGCCGCTTCATTATCATTCATCGTTTTCTTTGCAGGAATAGCCGCTTTTAAAGCAGCCATAAAGTCATACACCTGTACACAAAGTCATACACCTGTTAACAAGAGCAGACTACCAACAGGTACTAGTGGCCTCTGCTACCAAATGCAACTAATGAATGCGTCTTCCTCAGAAATAGCAGCCCCCAGGCACAACTCAGACTTTGAAGCTTTAGGAAAGCCAAGGGTGACTGGTACTCAGAAGAAGCATTATGGAAGCAGAGGGTCACTGGTATTAAGAAGAAGCATTATGGAAGCAGAGGGTCACTGGTAGTCAAAGGAAGCATCATGAAAGCAGAGGGTCACTGGTAGTCAAAGTAAGCATCATGGAAGTAGAGGGTCATTGGTACTCAAATGAAGCATCATGGAAGTAGAGGGTCACTGGTACTCAAATGAAGCATCATGGAAGTAGAGGGTCACTGGTACTCAAATGAAGCATCATGGAAGTAGAGGGTCACTGGTGCTCACAAAAAAGCATCATGGAAGTAGAGGGTCACTGGTAGACAAAGGAAGCAGCATGGAAGCAGAGGGTAACTGATAGTCAAAGGAAGCATCATTGAAGCAGAGGGTCACTGGTGATCAAAAGGAAGCATCGTGGAAGCAGAGGGTCACTGGTAGACAAAGAAAGCATCATTGAAGCAGAGGGTCACTGGTAGACAAAGAAAGCATCATTGAAGCAGAGGGTCACTGGTGGTCAAAGGAAGTAAGAAGCATTATGGAAGCAGAGGGTCACTGGTAGTCAAAGGAAGCATCATGAAAGCAGAGGGTCACTGGTAGTCAAAGTAAGCATCATGGAAGTAGAGGGTCATTGGTACTCAAATGAAGCATCATGGAAGTAGAGGGTCACTGGTACTCAAATGAAGCATCATGGAAGTAGAGGGTCACTGGTGCTCACAAAAAAGCATCATGGAAGTAGAGGGTCACTGGTAGACAAAGGAAGCAGCATGGAAGCAGAGGGTAACTGATAGTCAAAGGAAGCATCATTGAAGCAGAGGGTCACTGGTGATCAAAAGGAAGCATCGTGGAAGCAGAGGGTCACTGGTAGACAAAGAAAGCATCATTGAAGCAGAGGGTCACTGGTAGACAAAGAAAGCATCATTGAAGCAGAGGGTCACTGGTGGTCAAAGGAAGCACCATGGAAGCAGAGGGTCACTGGTGGTCAAAAGGAAGCACCATGGAAGCAGAGGGTCACTGGTGGTCAAAAGGAGGCATCATGGAAGCAGAGGGTCACTGGTACTTGGAAGATGCATTAGGGAAGCAGAGGATCACCGGTACTTGAAAGAAGCAGCATTAGGGAAGCAGAGGGTAGTGAATACTTGGAGAAAACATTGGATAAGCAGAGAATAACTGGTGTTTGAAGGAAGCAGCTGAGAGAGGTTTCACGAGTTTACAGAACACGCAGGTGATACATAGGTTATAGTAATTTGCATGTGCTGATGAACGGCTTGAGAAAAAGATTTTCCTAAAGATTGTGTTTTTCCTTTTGCAACAGCATGCTCTTTGTAACTTCAAAGTGTATTTCCACTTTTGCAGTCAATTTTAGGAAAACCCCTCCATATGTTCGTTATGTGTTACTGAAAAATAAACTTTTAAAAAAAATTCTTACCTTTTAGAAGTTTTGTTTAATCATCAGGCAAGATGGCTGGTTCCAGATGTTTCTTAGCCCTTTCACAGTGGTCTGTCCCAATGTCTTGGGACAGAAATTTGAGGATCGTGTGTATCTGATAAGCTTCATTAACACACAATGGAGAAGCCGGCTCTGAATGGACGATACCCCTCACCCATCACAGCCCCTCCTAACGTTTAAAAGAAATAGAAGCACAAAGAAATTTTAACCCTTAAAACCCTAACCCAAGTAAAAGCTATTTAAACGGCAAGAAGGTTTTTTTTTTAGCTTATTCTATGTGAATGGGAACATGTAACAAATATAAAATAAGTGTTATCCCAATTTGGCTGCGAAAGTGGAAATACACTTTAAGTCAAACGTTTATACATATACCACCCACGTGTTTCACTAGATGTACTCACTTTAGCCTTCTCACTGGGTTCAATGACCAATCCATTAGTAGAGTTGTTCAGCTCTCTGGACACAACACAAAGGAACTCAGCCTGATCTTCATTTCCATAGTTGTAGGAAGACCCAATACTGATAAGCTAAAAACAAAAATACAATGACATAATTACTGTAGGCAGAGAAGAATACCTGGTTGTAATACCTTAAGCATATCTAAGTTCCTATGAAAATTCTCCAATAGCAATATAATGCCCTGTATCCATAGTTCTGATGCTTCATCCAGATTGGGATGCTCATGAAACACTACAGGATAAACAAAAAAGTTCACCAGCCACATTTGCAAGTCACAGCCTACACGTTTCAAGGGCAGACCTTATACAGTATATCACAGCTCTGATAAACTGTGACACACAATAAAGATAGCAGGCTGCATACTGTCTGACAGGATGTGATCTGTGTACCCAGAGTCCAGTTGGTTTACACTCATCCTGATAGGTAAAGCCGACGTGTGACATTGAAACTGTCACACATCGGCTCTATTGATTGGGAAGTGAACACATACCGTCGCTCGCTCACTTCCCGATCATCTCCCTCCAGAGAGCAGCGACTGTCAGTCACCGCTCCCCGCAGGGATTCCCCCCTCTCCTCCAGTGCTGACTGAAGGAGCGTACAGGGAGAGGGTGGGCACAGCTGGCTCTGCCTCTAGATAGGCAGAGCCCGCTGTCAATCAGCCAGCTGGGTGGGTCTCAACAGCATGGTCAGGATCTGTCCCGACTGCGGCGCTCTCACTATATAGCGTAGTATAGCTTTGGGTTACGGAAGGATTTTAGTATAAGTCCTCCCGTGACCCTAAAGAGAACTACTAATATTAAAGCAGAACGTTGGGCATATTAAATCTTAACCCTTGCAGTGGGGCTACCGCCACACTGGAAGAATGAAATGCTTATTTTACCTAGGGAGCTAAAAGCAACCACGTTATACTCACCCGAACCACAATCCAGGCTTACTCTTAGACCGGCCCCTTCAGCCTCGCACCAGCGGTTTAATGTCCTGGAAGTCGGGATCGTAGTTCGGGTTAGTATAAATTTTGTTATTTTAGCTCCCTAGACAAAACAAGCACTTAACCCTTGCAGTGCAGGGGTAGCCCCACTTTAAGGGTTAAGATTTGATATGCCCGGAGTGCTGCTTTGACGGAATTTGGCCCCTTGGACCTTTCGTTTGGCACTCTCAGAGTTTGTACATCCTAATCACATCCATGCCCATAGAGGTGGATTCTAATTGGTTTATATACATATACTAAACTTCTGATGCACAAAGGCCTTTCATACAAGACATCCAAGAATAATAAGAGAGATCATATCTATTACATACCAATATAACAAAGCTTTCTTTCATTCAGTCACTCACCTGTTCAAACTTCCAACCATCAGACATGGTGGACACCATCTGTGTGAGCTCCTCCTCCTGGCACTGCAAGACTCTGTATACATGTTTCACAGGACCCTGGAAAAGGTGCTGAAGCTATTAGCACAGCCTATCAAGAAGTTGTATGCTTAGGAAAACACAGGTGTATATTCTGACTGAAACAAATCACAAGGATAGTTAGAAAAGGTACCAAGTCAAATGAATACATTCTTGTGTATGTATAGTTTGCATTCCTGCATGTAGTAAAAATTCATTCTTAAAGTGACCCTGTCAGTCATTAAAAAAATAAAGCTGAACTCCAGCCTTCCCTTCAAGCCTTGCACAGTTGTACCGCCTCCTCTCCTGTATTGAAATGATTTACTCTGATTTTACTGCACAACGTGAGCTTCACACAGTGTGCAATAGAAGCTGAAGCAAGTCAAATAGTCAGCCTCATTTCCTGGCTGAATGACATCCACAACCATTCAGCCCTTTCCTTTTTCAGCCTTACTGTTCCTGGCCCTCTCCATTAACTTGTTTCCAAAGTATTTAATCGTGGAGACTCAGCATTGGTACCAAAAACGGGCTGTTGCCTGCAGTCTGCCTTACGAACACCCACTTCTCCAAACTGATGTCCGCCCATCACTGCATTTTATTTTTATTTGCACAATTTCTCCCAAGAGCCAGCCTGATGGTTGCATCAGGACCAAGGACTCTTGGGAGCAATACTGAGGCAGGTGTCAGGGTTTCATACCTTTCCTCGTCCAGTTGAGCTGCAGCACATCTTGCGCAGTGTGTCTGACACTGTTTGTTCCTCTTTGGCGCCTTTTATGACCAAACCTGTAATCATCATCATTCTACAACTACTAGCAACTTCCTGTCTCAGAGTGATGATGCAAACACCAGTTTGCTATTTATCAATCAGCTAGTCCAATCAGGCTCCGCCATTGCGTGTGTTCTGATCTACCAGGTACTCTGTAGTTGTTCCTGTTCGCTGTGTATGACCCTGGCTCTGGCTGACTGATCTCCTGGTTACCGACTCCGGCTATTGTTTCTGTTCATTCTGCTCTCAGTTTTCCATGACCTGGTTCGCCTGACGACACACATTGGCATATGACCTCTGGCCTGGCATAGACGACGTCCTGGACTTCCTCCATTTCTGATTATTGTTATTTTCAATAAACTCCTTTATTTTTAACCTGCACATTAGTTTGTCTGGTTTCTTGGTTCCATAACAGCAGGGTGCGGTGATATTTTCAGGAAGCTATGTATAGCACCATGGCGACTCCTCCAACCAGCCTTGATCTGCCTGCACTGCATAGAGAATCCTAGAGACTCAGTGATGATGTCACTGGGTCTAAAATAAGGCATGTAACAAAAATGGAAAGGTTTCATTATCATGTTCATGAAGCGGGGAAGGAGAAACCTAGGAAGGCGAAATAGAAGCAGAATAAACTTCAGCTGCTCCCTCTGACAAAGTCTCCAGCAATCAACACTTTCAGGAGGGCTTTTCGGATGTATGCATCTCCCTCCACGTACTGCTTCAAACTCCTATCTCCACATCATGGCTGAGTTTTGTAGTGACGCCTGGGGTAGGGGGTAAAACCACAGCAGATGGCGGGGACACAGGTAACTGACACTCCCTAAATTGTTGAATGCTGGAGACTTTGCTGGGGGCTGCAGCACTGGAACAGAGGACAGATAGGAGCCGTCAGAGAGCAGAGTATAACAGCAATTCTATTACAGGAAACGGCTACATCATTTTTTCAGTGACTGACGGGGTCTCTTCAACTCATGACTGTTGTTTCTAGTATATATAGACCAGAAGAGGACAAATGAATGTGTAATCCAAGAGCCAGCAGAACTACAATGAGTTCAGGAGCCAGTGCATGACTGCTATAATGGAGTATGCTAGAAAGCTACATGCCAGCTGGTTTCAGGAGCATTGGTTACCCTAAAACTCTATCATCAATACTACTTGCACTAATTTTCTCTGACAAATGCATTATTTTTAATAGATTCTGGGGATTTATCCAACCCTGGCACAACCAGTGCACATTCAATACACAGAATGTCAGAATCATTTGGTACTTTATGCCATGGAATCAAAGTTGACTTCATATTTGAAGGTGATGAATAGTCATATCTAGGGGATTTGTTTAAACCAAGTTTGCTCAACCCCACACACAAAGGTCATTGTCACCCTACCCCTGCTGGCCCAATCAGTTGTGGCAGGGGGATTCCCCCCCCCCTTTGTGACGTGTAGCTGCAGGGCAGGGAATACCCTGCCACAACTGATTGGGCCGGGAGGAGTGTGTGTCACTGATGGGTGTACTCGGGCACGCTTGGTTCACACCAAGCTCCCCCTTATCACTAATAATATAAAACGCCAAAGAAGTTAAACAATAGATTTACCTGTGAAGTTCGATTCTCGTTGTCTCGAATGCGCTCTTTTACTAGCCGGACCAATGAAGCAATGTTGTAGAACTCAGCTTCTTCTAAGACACCTGTAGAGGAGAAGAAACACTTTCAGCATGGAAGGATAATCATTTTATTTCAAGTTTCCCTGTATTTAGAAGGCGCACTTGCTTCTTTTTTACATTGCATTGTCTTAATTTCTATTATATACATGTAAACTTTGTCTTGGAAAACTGTTCAGAAAAAGCGTTTGAAAAATGATACATTGTTCCTTGGATATTTACTTCTTACTGGAGCTGGCTCTGTATAAAGTAATGCTATATCTTCACATACCAAAACATTAGAAAGTATAACACAACAGGAACAGTGCACACAAAATCTTACACGGAACTTTTTTTTTTCTAATTTAAAATGATATTAACCACTTCCTGACCGGGGTGTTAAACCCTTTCCTGTCCAGGCTATTTTTCAGTATTCAGCGCTGATGTACTTTGACATTTATTCCGCCATGCAACGCTGAACTCAAATGAGTTTTAGATCATGTTTTGGGGACACAAAGCTTTCTTTGGTGGTATTTAATCACCACTGGGGTTTTGTTGTTTTTTTTACTATATAACGAATGTCGGGTAAAATCGCAAAAAACTACCACACCCAAAATTTGGCCTTAGGTGATGCTTTAAAAGCTTTTCCTGCTCATCAATTTAGTTTTTGATGTTAAAACACCTCTCTCTGGGCAGGTTAATAACACCTCCTACACTCCAATTATGCAAATGCAATCAACACCTGGTGGTGAGTAACAGATTATGTGGATTGGAGGAACATTCACCATATTTATTCCCAGATAATTTTTTTGTACAAGTCATTCTGAATTGAGAAAGCTGGTTGGATGACCAGTGAAACGTCTTTAAGACAAATACAGCAAGTCCAGTTGCCCTGACTTATGTTGACAGATATACAGGCAGTCCCTGGGTTATGAACAAGATAGGGACTGTAGGTTTGTTCTTAAGTTGAATTTGTATGTAAGTTGGAACAGGTAAATTTTTTAAGTGTAACTCCAGTCAAAAAATTTTTTTTTGTTTTGGATAACATAGGGAAGGGTTAACCCCCTGTAACATTTGTTTTGCTGCGTGTGCCCCGGTTCAGAACATTTCACCCCACTTTCTGTCCCTGTGACAATTGGATTTGGAAAATGTTGGGTTGTCGTGGAAACAAGGATTTGTGATAAAGCTGCAGTGGAGACACCTTTTTCACATGATCACTCTTACAGGAGTTAATTTTCCTTCCTAGGGGTAGATTTCTTTTCACTTCCTGTTGTCTCAAGGACAGGAAGTGCGATTAACTATTTCTAATGAGTATACAGACAGCAGTAAAAACCTTGCAGTGACCCAGAAGAAGAGGTGGACACCCCTCGTCTGCACGTCTAACAAGAGCCAACTTCCTGTAATGTACATACAGTACTATGAACCAGACCCAAAAAGGTGGGCACTCCTCGTCGGCACGAGCGCAGTAGCATTAAGGTGGCCATACACTTTACAACCATCGCAAGACCTTAGTCTTGCGATGGTTGTAAAGTAATTAAAAAAACTTACGATCTGCCCATCTTGGACAGGCAGATCGTACTCTCGATCATCGCAAGCCCGCCCCCCTGAGGGGCGGGCTTCCGATGACCGCAATGCTGAACGGGTAGTGTGCGCGTGGGCCCGTTCGGCATTTGTCTCCTGAGCACCGTTCACAATTTTCGGCTGGTTTTCTAGCGTGCTCCTTAGACAAAAGACGTGCGACTGTACAGTAGAAACGGTCGCACGTCTTCGTTCACACTGCTCGATTCTCGTACGATCGCGGGATCTATTCCTCACCTTCCTCTGCTAACTCCTTGCTGAGTATTAGCTTCCCATGTCGTAGATAGTTTAGGATTGGCCCAAAGTAGGTAGGGTCCCGATCGATCAGATAGGCTCCTGTTTCATCCTAGAAAAACAGCAAAATGCTATTTTAGCAAAGTATTAGATATGTTGACCAAGCTCTTCTCTATATAATAAACTTTTCAGACAATATACCTATAATGACAAATCCTACAGGCTGCTATTACCACCTCTACCTGCTACTTCCCATATATAAAGGAACACTAGAGAATTCACATATATAGCGTCACCATATGAGGCTTTTACTGGTTCTTCTGAACGTTGGTGGAGAGCCTAAAGGGAAGTCACTAAAAGACTCATTTTTGCAGTAAACCTGTATTTATTTGATCACCGATTGCTCATTTTAAAGAACTCTGGGGAAATGTTCAATTAACCCTTGCAGTGGGGCCACTCCCACACAGCAAGGGTTAACTACTTGTTTGTATTTTAGGGAGGAAAATAAAGTTATACTCACCCGAACCACAATCCGGGCTTACTCTTAGACCCTTCAGCCTCACTCCAGCGCTCTAATGTCCTGTAAGTCGGGATCGCAGTTCGGGTGAGTAAAGTTTTGTTATTTTAGCTCCAGCTTGCTCTGAGACCGGTTCTTTCAGCCTAACACCCCCCACCGCTGCAGCAGTCTAAGGTCCCCAAGTCATCACGTTCTATACACAGTAAATAGGACGCACGGGATCATAATATTGCTGCAGCATAGGAGGAGACAGGCTGGAGCCGACCACTTCTGAGGATAACATTAGTATAACTTATTTTCCTCCCTAGATTAAAATGAGCAGTTAACCCTTGCAGTGCAGGTAAGCCCCACAGTAAGAATTATTAATAGTTTCCCCAGAGTTCTGCTTTAAGGGAAGACGAGTTGTGCAATTAGGAATCCTCCATACTGCAGTTACAAACTCTATAGCAGCAAGAAGAGTGTTCTCTTTACTAATAGTCACAGAGGGACCCTATAACCAATAAAAACTCAAAGCTGTCGACTTCTAATACTGTTTTATTATGACTGTAAAATATAAAGCCATAAGGTTTGTAACTCAAGCCCAAAAAAGATATTGCACCACTATGAATTTCATTGGGTCAAGACTTCACAGATATACATTTGCAGAGTGAAGAGATCGGTGAATGTCTAAGGTTTAGATTTGCAGTGCATTATGGTCACCGGATGGAGCCAAGGAAATTCCTATGCTCCTCTGCTCCATCTAGTGGCCGTAATGTGCTATGAATCTAAAATGTCAACATTCACAGACCTGTGAACTACGCCCCTACATGTTGGGGGTGGACTTATCATACGGGTATACCGTAAAACAAACCTGTTAGCCCAAAGACACAGATAACAGTTGGTTAGTTTGCTGTCCTATTCAGTTCCTAGCTGTCTAACGTTAGCCATAGACTGTTCGACTTTCGGCTGAATACTGTTGAACTGCCTGAATTTTGAGCCGCAGAAGGCCCTGCAAGCACCAGAGACTCAACAAATTGACTGAGAGAGGTGGAAAATTATCAGATAAACCGTGACTAATTCTCCAATGTTATCAGCACTGAAGAATGGCCCAGTAATAAAGGGGGATTAACATGCCGATACAGAAGTGGTTAATAGAGGTCCATCACCCTTAAGGTGCCCATACACCTTGCAATTATCGTAAGATAATCGCGTGAAATCCCGCGATCGTACGATAATCGCAAGGTTATGGAAGGCATGCGACCTCTGCTACTGTAAGGTCGCGCGACTTTTGTCTAACGAGCATGTTTGAAACCCCGCCGAGAATCATACGTTTGTCGGCGGGTTTGTGGCGTGCTCGCAAGACAAATGCCGAACGAGCCGGTGTGCGCAAGCGCACACTGCCCGTTCAGCATTGCAGTCATCGGACGATCTGCCTGTCCAAGATGGGCAGATCGCACGTTTTTTTTTAATTACCTTACAACCATCGCAAGTTAAAAGTCTTGCGATGGTTGTAAGATCTATGGCCATCTTTACAAGTAAAAACAAGCGCTTTTGGGGCCAAGCAGGGGCACTTCATCAGGCTTAACATTGACGAGTAAGCCAGATGAAGGTACCCTGCGTGGCCCCGAAAGCGCTTGTTTTTACCTGACATGGTTCTTATTAAATGTACACATGGTTATCCGAATAAGATGTTTGGTGTGCTGGTGACATTTCTTCAATTGATTCCTGTAACCAGCGGTGCTATCCGCAGTCACTACAAGAACCCTGCCCTGTCGTCGGGGCATCCGGTAAGGAGTGCAACAAGTTTCTTTCTATATTCTATCACCCTTACAGACACGATCATTTTCCCCTATTGGGTGGTAGCTGTATATATATATATATATATATATTAGTAGGAACCTTATACTATTATGAATGTTTTCACCTTGTTTTGTGGCCCTTCTACCATCCGCTTAAACTCTGCAATAAAAGATGAATCCTTTCATTTTAGGGATGTGCACAGGCTTGGTTTGATCCTCATTCACCCAAGTCCGTAAAAAAAAGTCAGTGACACATCCACCTCCTGGCCCATTCAGCTGCGGCCAGGACATTTCCTGCACCACAGCTACATGTAACAAAGGGGTGGGGAATGCCCCTGCTGCAGCTGATTGGACCAGCCGGGAGGGTGTCAGTCACAGTTTTGCGTGGACTGAGTTCATACCAAGCCTGCGCACATCCCTATTTGGTTTTAGTAGTAGCTGAGGCCGAACGATTTGCTTTATGATTTTTTATGCTGTATATCCTATTTATTATTACTGGTATTTATATAGTGCTGTCAATTTACACAGCGCTGCACATTCACATCAGTCCCTGCCCTCAAGGAGCTTACAATCTAAGGTCCCTATCTCACATACATACAGGGCCAATTTAGACAGGAGCCAATTTATCATCCAGCATGTCTTTGGAGTGTGGGAGGAAACTGGAGTACCCGGAGGAAACCCACGCAAGCACAGGGAGAAGATGCAAACTCCTTGCAGATAGTGTCCTGGCTGGGATTTGAACTTGGGGAATCCTACCTGGGTACCCCATACACCCCATTTTACCTGTTTAACATACCTCAGTACAATTACTTATGGGACTTGTAGTCTCTCCACTCACAGATCCTGTAAAAGTTTAGGAATTCAACAATGTCCACACAGCTGCACCGGATTAAAAAACAGACAGGAGCCTGCAGGGAGAAGAACCCCACGATTCAGTGAGGGGGCGGCGATGTGACCATGTTCCATGGCACACCCTGAATATGGATGTAACATGAAATTTGGTATTATCAGTAAACTTCACCTGTAAAAATATGATCCTGCCATGACCGGTCTCCTTCAGGTCAAAGATCCCGGACAGAGATGTGGGCAGAGAGGAAGTCAATTTAGTTCTGCTTTACGGGGGACCTTCCATGACAAACAGAAGGTCTGCTCAGCCCCCTTTCAAAGGCCTTCTGTAAAGAAATAGACCGGCCAAAATAAAAAAAAAACGACTTGCCCCAGCTTCCACCACTTTCAGGAGGCACGAGGGATGGCATTGCTGGCTCCTGGGATAAGCGAGTGTTTAAAATCCCACCCAGTACCCACCCTTGCAATCGCCTGCAAGGGATTTTGTGGTCCCAAGTCTGTGGGAAGGCGTTCCCAGGCCAGTCATTTTTTTCCCCCAGGGCGATCTGTTTGTTTACTAAAGGCTTTTTAAAGCTCGTTCTTTTGAGAGGGGGGGGGGGGGGGGGGGGCAGGGCGACCCCC